AAGTACGTCAATAATAAATACAATAATAAGTTAATGAAAAAAAAATAACAACAATATTTATCATAATTTTAAATTAGTTAAAGATATAAAATTAAATTAATTAGGCGAATTTTATTGAATTGCTTTCTTTTCTTCTTTTCTAATAAACAATTTGGATGTAGCCATATGGGATAAGGACAATAGATAATAATTAATAATAATAATAATAATAATAATAATAATAATAATAATAATAATAATAATAATAATAATAATAATAATAATAATAATATGTCGATGACCCGGATTATAAATAATGCTACTTGAAAAATATTTTTTCTAAATCTGGCAATTTATTTAATATTAGCCTGATTCTTTCTTAAGATTAGTGATAATCTCCTACCATTTCATTATTACTCTAAAGTATCTTTTCAGCTGTAAAGTAATCAGTGTAAATATTTTAGGCTATTTTAAAGTAAAGATTAATAAAAGTTCAAAATCTGCTAGTCCATTTATTTCTTTTTTCTTCATCATTCTTTATTTGATCCAAATCTTGGCTATTATTTGGAATTCTTTTGGACACTCATATATATTGTCAACTTAATTCTGTTAATCAATTTTGTCAATTTAAAGTTGATTTAAAAGAAGGTATTAATTATTAGTGAAAAGAAGTGTTTTATCACAAAATGTGTTTCATTGCAAAATTTATATAAAATTGATTTATTAATAAGATTATATAAATCTTAAAGTGGCTCGTTTTATTTATTTTTTTTTACTGATTCCTTATTATTTAAAAAAAAAAAATGAAGGCGCTCTGCAAAAACATTTGAAAAATTAAATTATTTTTTACCAAAAATAAACAATTATCCTTCAAAATGACACAAATACATTAAAATTTCTTTGTTCAAAAAAAATTTAAAAAGACGAACAATATTAAATAATACAGAAAAAAATGAAAATGAATTTTAAAAAAATTGAGGAATAATTATTTTTCTTAATAATTAGTTATCGATTCTTTAAATATATACCATTCATTGTTAAATATCATTCAGTATATTCAAAATTTGCTCCTAAATTTACTACAAATATATTAAAGTTCTTTAAGATTGTTAAAAATAAACGAGGAAATTTAATACAAAAAATGAAAAATCAAAAAAAAATGTTTGAATGGTTAACTTATGCTATTATTTAGCGGGAAATTTTTTGTTTTCCATTCCATTTAATTGTTGTAATAAATTATCATTTAACAAAAAGTACATGAAAACTTGTTTATGATAAGGAAAATTAACAGGGAACAGAACAGAGAAGGGAAAAAACGAGGGGGAAAGAGAGAGGGATGGGAGAAAAAGAAGGAAAAAAGAGAGGAAATTTTTTTGAAATTTATCAGTGAATGAGATTTAATAGATGAATAGCTTTAGAAATAAATTGTTAAAAGATTGTATAATTTTGAAATTAATTAATTGATGATAGTTTCAACCAATGAATGATACTTTCATGGGATTTATCATTTTTTAAGCATCACAAGATAAGACAATACTATTTTGGTTACTTTTTTTTTACTAATACTTGCAAAGTTTTTAATGAATTAATTAACGAATATCAACAAGACAACTGATTGAATTGATTTGTTTTCGTATTATTAAAAAGCTCATCGATTATTGATGTTGACCTTTTGCTTGTCACTTTTTTTTGCCTAATTTTTAAATCTAAAAAAGATAAGACAAAAGATATCGACCAGTAATTAGTAAATATTAGTAAAGTAATGATTGGATCAATTGTCTTTATATCATTGAATAGTTACTGCTTATCAATTTTTTTCTTTTGGATTTTTAAAATTAGAAAAGGGAAAAATAAATCCAAATAATTTCATATGAATTTTTTATAACAATGTTAAATACCAAACTAATTCTGTCTGAGTAATTTTGTTGGTTAAAATTATTGATAAATAAAAAAAAATTCAAAATGTCTTTCCCCATCCCCTCAAAAAAAAGAAGGACATTTGAGTTATTGAAGAGGTCAGGGTTAGCTCTGCATTTTTAAATAATTTCCGCTTGAGAAGATTTTCAAAATAAATTGATTGAAATTGGAAAGGATATAAATGAATGTCAAAAATTGAGAGAAAAAAAAAAGCTAAGATATGATGCTTGGCCTTCAATTCTACATAGCAATATCCTTGAACAAAAAAATAACGGTTTTTTCCGCCTTTTTTTTTCTTTTGCCTATCCATTTGCTGTCCTTGAATATTCCCTTCCTTACATCCACAACGATTTTTTATCATCAAATTTCAAATTTAAAAATTTAAATTTAAAAATTGAAATCTTAATCAAAATTTGATAATGATAGATATCTGACCCTTTTGAAATGCCCTCCATTTGTTTTATCCAAGTTATTATCGATGCAACATTCATCAACAAAATGCAGCAGTGGTTCATTTGAATCATCCAGAAATGCATCCGTACTCCGGTTAGATTTGCATTCTCTATTCCAAACATGATCCGGTCTTCGTTTTGTCCGAAATGAGAGATGAAACACCTGACGTCGGATCATTCCGGAACGCTCAATTCCTGTATACATTTTGCAATTGGCAAAGCCAATAAAATGATCAGTCGCGGAATGTAAGTAACACAAATGAATATCATTGTTGGGCTTGAATTAATTTTTTTGGCTAAATGTTAAAGCATTAGCATTTAGCCAAAAAAAAAGAATTTAAGGCCATTATATTAAACAGGTATTGATTTTACTTGATGTATGCATCAAAAACAAAAAAAGAAAATGTGAAATTAAAATTTAATAAAATCCATTCCAGTTAATTGATAACACTTTTTCATTTCGTATTTCGTTCGGTTTGAAATACACAAATCATATCATTACGAAAAAAAGAAAACCAAAATTATTAATTGCCGCATATATGCTTCTAAAAAAAAAACCAAAAACCGGCGGATTTTTTTTTCCAAAAAAATAGTAATCAAAATTTTCCTAAATTATAAAATTTCATTTTTGATATAAACAAAAAAAAGAAAAGCCAACAATTTGGATTAATTATTCCATTTTGCACCAAATTTATTCCTTTTTCTTACCTTCCCAAATAGCACAACATAGCTAAAATGCTAACAAACAAATAAAATGTGAAAATCAGATGAAAAAATTTTTCCCCTTTTCTAAAAAAAAAAAAGAAGACGACAGCTTGTAAATCATTAAATTCCTCTTTCCCTCTCTTTCTGTTTTTCTCCTTCCTCCCCTGATGCTTCTCTTTTCCCTGACTTTTTTTTTTAAATCACTTATCAACATTATCAGTGATGAAAATCGTTTAAAGTGAAAAGATTTGCAAAATGTCACAACACTCATCGTTGCTTAAATCGTAATCGTTTTTGTTTCTTTTTCAGTTTAATTTTCTTTTTATTTTTTTTTTAAACTAATTAAGTAAATTAAAAGGAAACACTGACTAGAATGTTAAAATGTTGTAACAAAGAAAGAAAAGAAGAAATTAAAACTATTTAAACTCATCTTTTTTTTAAACTGTTTAAAAATAATCTTTCTTTGAGAAGAACATTTCATTCATAATTTTCAAACATTTATTTTATCGATTTCAACTTTGATTTTCATTTCTACTACTACTACTACTACCACTATACCCTGTTATTTTATATTTCCATCTTATAACAATAACAACAATAATTCTTATTTACATAACTTTTCAACTATAGTATTCTAATTTTTGAAATTTTATTGTTCACATAATTTCAAATTTTATATATCGAATAGATATTGATTGACATAATCAATAATTGATTCTACAAAATAAAACATAATTTAAATCGTACAAAATTAATAAAAATTAAATGCTCAATTAAATTAATCCATAAATATGCAACATTTATAAATGCTTCTCTTACTTAATTAATATTTTTCAGTCATTAATAATAAAAGAATAACTCTGCAACTGTTAAATTGAAAAAAAGAAAGAGACAGTGAAATATTTAATTAATTAAAGAGAAGAATTGTGGAAGAGAATGAATGGATATGAAAACTTGAGGTTATTGAGATGAGGTGAGGTAGAACTAGAAGTGTTGATCGATATAATTGCGCCGCGCCTTTTCCTCCTTACCAAACTCAATTCCGTTGAGCTGACAAACTTCTCCCTCCATTCAATCATCCATAATCTCCCTTCCCTCTTTCTTTCTCATATCATTATATCACAAATGACAATCTTTATATCTTTCTTTTTCTTTTTTCTTTTTTTAATGCATTTCCAATGGATACATCAATACGTCAATATTTACTTGTCACCGATAAAGTTAGTACCACAAAAACTAACTTATTTTCATGTGACAAAAAGAGAGAAAGAAAGAGAGAGAGAGAGGGAGAGAGGGAGAGAGGTAAAAGACTTTCTTCTGTTACTTTTGAAATTAACAATGAAATAGAAAGGATAGAAAAAAAAGCGGTGGAAAAAGAATATGAATAAATTGAATATAGAATGGAGTAATTAAATGAAAAAAAAACAAAGAAACCGGGAGAGAAGAAATAAATAAAGTTAAAATGTTTAAATGAATTCTATTATTAATACTTATTTGTAAAGTAGAAGAAGCAAGAATTTAAAAAAAAAGCAAAAAACAAGTATATGTGAATAAATCAAATAGAGAATAGAATAATTCGAATAACGAAATGAAAAGAACTAAAAAGTGAGAAAAGAAATAGGAAAAAATAAATAAAAGGAAGAAATAAATAAAATAAAGAAATATGTAAAATTAAAAAATTCAAATGAATTTTATTGCACAAATACTTAATTAATGAGATATGACAAATGAGAATTTTTAGGATAGATAAGAATGTCACAAAAGTAATACCTTCATTTTGAATTCACTCAATGCAAATATTTGTCCTATGTAAACATTGGGGATGACGTCAATAAACTAAGTCAATTGGTTTCATCATCGATTATAATGGAATTTCAAAAAAAAAAAAAAATAAAGGTATAAATAAAAAACAAAAAAATAAATCATAATTGTTTATTTATGGGATGGAGGAAAAATTAATGATAAATGATAAATGTTATTGAAATTGTCAAATAGATAAGCAATCAAGTCCAAACAAATAATGAGTGATTTAAATTGTTCTTTCCTTGATCAGTGAGCTAAATAAGGAAGAAATGAAATTAGATAAATAATAATTTGGTCCGACGAATACTTTATTTATTAAATAAAACTAAAATAAGTATATTAAAATTAAAATTATCAAATAGATTATTGCATTCTCCATGGAACGAATTTGTTAAATTTATTTGAGAACTAATTTTAAATGAGCAAAATAATGAAATGATAATAAAACAAGCAATGATTAATACTGAAATTGTTGTAAAATTAAACAATATGTTGTAAATTTTCTAAACTTATAACATGAAAACTTTTGTAAAATTAAAATTCAGATTTGTTTTCTTGCAGTAGTTGAAAAAGAAAAAAAAGAAAAAAGATTAGTTTAAAGAAAAAAGATTAAAAAACAAAAGATTACTATTCTGGAGAGAAGAAAACAATTCTTAAATTACTAAAAATATCATTCAAATTATTATAAATATCATTATAATGATAAAAAAGGCGGGAATCTTCAAAAGATTTATTGATTTGTGCGATATATTAAGAGATGTATTTACTGAAATTAACCAAATAAGTTAAATAATTACACACATGGGATAAATTACTGATGCCAAAAGTTAAAATAATTGCCCAAGAAAAATGAGAAAGAAAGGGTAAGGGTAAATAAAGGGTAAAGGTAGTGGGTAAGAGCGAAGAATAAGTAATGATAAGGATCTATTCCTATTGGTACAATGAA